AGCGCCGGGTGCGTCCCAAGTGGTGGTCTATGATCTTTGAAAGCAAACAGATAAATATGAACATATCACCCATGTCTACGCCGAGGCGAACTCAACCCGGGAGAGGGCCGGGCGGGGGCGGCGGGAGCGCGGCCGGAGGACCCGGGGTTTTGTCGGGGTTGGGGGGGGGCGTGTCTCACCTACGCGTCCTCCGGCCCAAAGGGGGCCCCAAGGGATACGCAGGACACCCTCAATTTTCGCGGAGGGTGCCCCCCCCCATTCCAAGAACCCATGCGGGAAGGGAAGGTCCTGGCCAGGGCCGAGTCTTCCAGGTCCCTGCCAACCCCCAAACCCGCAGCGCCTTTGGGCTTCACTAGAGGGGTTCCTTCTGGGAGAGGGGGTCAAAGGAGTACGGAGGGAGGGGCTCCGCGGTGTTCAGAGGACGGCTAAGACCCGGCTTTTCCTGATCGCGGTCATGGCCCTGGCTTCTACCTTTTCCTAAAACGAGCCCAACGAAGACGCTGCTGCGGTCCAAGAGCTAACCCGGAGTGTAAGGTGGGGATCAGCCCCTCCCGGCGCCGCGGCCCCCTCCGGGGCTCTTGCCCTGCTCCCGAAGTAGGGTCGCCTGCGCTCTCCCGGGAGGGTCGGCGACCTGGGCCTGAGCGTCTGTTAAGCCGCAATTAACCGCGGTGAACTTCGCGCCGCGTGGTCCCGCTTCCCTTGCTGCCCAAAGTATCCCCCAAATAAACTTCAAGGGTCAAAGTGCAGCGAAATGAAGAACCCGAGTCCAGGCTGGGGAAGGGGGTTATTCTATTGTTATTTTACGTAGTACCTGTTCCTTTATTGGCTTGGCATGCAAATGAGCCCGGTTTCCAGGCCGCGCGGACGCAGTGGGGGCGGGAGCTTCGCTCGGCGCCGTCTAGAGCCGCAGAGCCGCGGTTCTCGCGGCCCCTCGACTGCGGAAAGCGCGGCTGAGGCCAGCGCTTCCCCAGCCGCGTAGCCGGCAGATACACATGCATCAAAAAGGAAGGAGGAAAGACTATCTCGGATAGTTTAATAATAACAGGAACAAAGATGACGCGAACCCCATCAAATGAAACAATACTATTTTCATTCAATTGATCGCAAAGTGTCTTCAATGAATAACTTGGCACTTATTTAAAAGGCTTAACAGAGGTGAAACCGAAACATTTCGTACCGACAACACATCATGAAATAACAGCATCTTCTTCTGTTTAAAATAACTTAATACACTAGAAAAAATATGGCAAATATAAATAATTTGTTTTCACGGAGAACAAATAGTTACAAAGCTCAACCGCATACCCAAGTTCAGTTAAAAGAGCTTTTCCTCTTTCTTGTAAATAAGAAGGGGGAAAAAAAAACCGAAAAAACTAAGGCGGCTTTCTGGAGCATTGGGATACAGACTGCTCAGTCCAGGGTACCCCATTTTAAACAGCTACATGAATTGAAACAAACAAATTAATATACAACTTTGTGAGATAAAATGCAAATGTCGAAAGTCAACCATCAGTTCACACATTATAGCCAAAATAAACTTTGTTTGTGTGTATCAACATATTTTACAGAAACCTAGTGCCTGTATCTAGCTGGATGCCGTTTAAGGTGGGTGTGACGGGATAGAGGGGGGAAATAAAGCGGGATCCTCACACAGGACTGCGGGTAATCAGCAAGGGGGTAACAAGAAAGGGGGGAGGGGACTCTCGCTGAGCGCCAGCCCCGTGCCAGGCACCTTGTGAGGCGCCCACCTTCATCATTTCATTTGGTCGCCTTGTTTTCTCTTTCCTTTCCCCACATTTTCTGCCCGCCTCCGCTTTCTGGGGACAATCAGAGTGTCGAGTTTTTCCCTTCCGACTTTTTTCTTTTGTCCCCCAGGATCAAAGACGGGGCAAAAGCATATAGAGAGAGATATACATCAATTTCCAGATGCTTTTGGGATTGTTTTTCGTACTGATGATGAAAATGAATTAAGTACACGTGAGTAAAGCAGGGAGGGGGGAGACACCGTCAATGAAATAAAAGTAACATGCAAACCGGAATTTACTGCCAGCCGTCTGGACAGTTCTGCCATAATAATTTCCTCAGAGAGATCACTGTCTGTGGTATCATTTTTTTTGTGTATTAATATTTTCTTCTCTCCTTGTTTTTATACACTCTTCCCTCTTCTTGCTCTTCCATTCGTGGTGGTTTTTAACTCAAAGCATCTGATTCAACGTAAAACGAGGCCCGCCTCTCTTATCAAATTTCTCGTATTAAAATGAACTTCGCAGAAAAAGGTCAGTTTCAAAACCTGTGAACTTCCCAGCTGCGCACTCTTTTTTAATCTTAACTCTTTAAATAAGTATACCTCTTCCTTCTGTTTGCCTTCTTAGCCCATTGGGGGGAGGGTCATACACTTTAGGTTGGTAACTCCCCTACACCCCATTCTCTCGAAATAATACGTCCGGGTTATTTTTCCATATTTTTAAATGTATAAAATACTTTAATTTTTAATTTTTTTTGTTCCTTGGTTCTCCCTCCGATTTCAGCTTCTTTCAAATAGCAATAAGAAATAAGTTCCCTTTCTCTTTTTCTGTTTGTCTTTTTTACTTTTTTTGTTCATTTTTTATTAACAGGATTTTTATTTCTGCGCAAGAGTCCGTCGTTGCAGCTTTGCCAAGGGCACTCCCACGTCCAGTCTCTCTCCCGACTTCCCCGAACCCGCCCCACCGAGCTGAATTCTAGGCCCTTGGGAAGGCGAAGGGTCAGGAGCCTCCAGCTGACGCGCCCAGCGGGGGGCGGGTCCCCGCGGAATCCTGCCCTCGGAGTCCGAGGTGCTGAAGCGGGCGAGGGGCGACCAGCCAGGCGGCAGGAGGCGGGGCTCCGGGGCGCGAAGGGTAACGGAGAAGCAGCGGGGCGCGGGGGCGCGGGGGCGCGCGGTGGGCGCTGGCGTGGGCGTGGGCTTCACAGACCCAGGGCGGCCGCGTGCTTTTTGGCTTTCAGTCTGAGATCCGCGATGCTGGAGTTCTTGCTGGTGGTCTTGGCGGCGGCGGCGG